ATTAAGAAAATAAACTCAACCCTTTTAGACCATGCACCTTGGCGCAAAGCGCATTTTCCCGTCCGTAAATTTGCAAAAATGCGTTCTGACACGCCCTGAAAGCGTTTGCGCCCTGCTCTTTGCGCTCTGCACATGGACCGTCAAAATAGAGCCCTCAATGTCTCGTACTGGTTTAAATGCTGTCTGCACAGTCTGTTTCATTCGTTGGCTTTGTGTTTTGTTCTTGTTTTTGAAGACGAAGCCAAGCCACACAACCATTGACATCTGTCTTCTATTACTAGCAAAGTGACAAATAACTGCTCTATCTCTTGTGCTTTCTCAACTGCACACGAATGTTGTATGTTAATATTTACATTGAGTTGTGAGTTTGATTACTCAACATCACAGCAGGAGTCTCTGTTAGTGTCTCTCTGTGTTTCAGTGAACATCAAGCTGGAACTTAGTCTGGAAATCTGTTTATTTATTATCTGATTCAACTCAAAATAATTAGCAGATATGAACTTACAATGTGTAGAACTTATAGAGATTTCAATACTTGTGCACATTATTAGTGTTGGGTGACGACTGTCTTTTTTAGTAATATAGAGTGAGCCATTTATATGGATACACCATAGACAACAAAGATAGAGGGGCCATTCTTCATCAAGGGAAACCTCAAGGCCACTGGATATTTGACATTGCTCCATGATGATGTGCTTTCCTCTTTATGCACTGAAGCGGGCACGTTCCCTGAGTTTTTCCAGCAAGATGGTGCACCACCACATTATGGGTGTCAGCTCCGAGCATTCCTAGATGAACAGTTTCCTGAAAAGTGGATTGGTCAACATGGGCCAGTTGAATGGCCCCCATGATCTCTCGATCTGACCCCCTTAGACTTTTATCTTTGGAGTCATCTGAAGGCAATTGTCTATGGTGTGAAGATTTAAGATGTGCAGCACCTAAAACTGCGGATACTGGAAGCCTGTGCTGGCATTTCTCCTGCGGTGTTGCTATCAGTGAGTGGGAGAAGAGGGTTGCATTGCCAATCCAACACAATAGGCAGCACATTGAACACATTTTATAAGTGGTCAGAAACTTGTAAATAACTCATGAAAGAATAAAGTTATGTTAAAACCAAGCACACCATTGATTTTCTTGTGAAATTCCCTATAAGTTTGATGTGTCACATGACCCTCTTCCTATTAAAAAAACAAAAGTTGGATCCAAGATGGCTGAATAGTTTCCCCCCCTTGCATATACTAATGTGCCACAAACAGGACGTTAAATCACCAACCATTCCTATTTTATTAGGGTGTATCCACATAAATGGCCCACCCTGTATAATTAAATACAGTTGAAGTCCAAATTATTCGCCCTCCTGTGAAATTTTTTATCTCCTTTTCAAATATTCCCCAATTGATGCTTAACAGGACATTTTTAATGTATTTCCTATAATATTTATTCCTCTGGAGAAAGTCTGATTTGTTTTATTTCGGCTAGAATAAAAGCAGTTCGTAAATTTTTCAATAACTATTTTAAGGTCAATATTATTAACCCTTTTATTACCCCTTTTTTAATTGTCTCCAAAACAAACCACTGTTATACAATGACTTGCCCATGTACTCTAACTTGCCTAATTAACCTAGTCGAGCCTTTAAATGTCACTTTTTCATCTTGCAAAATGTCTAGTCAAATGTTATGTGCTGTCATCATGGCAAAGGTTAAACAAAGACAGCTATTCCAGCACATAACACACATTTTCAAAGCAGAATATCTGACTTCAGCATTGTTTTTCAGGTAAACGTTCACTCAGCTTAGCTTGTTTCTGAAATATCTGCAAGCATATTATGGTGTTTTTATGTTTTAGAAGAGTCAAAAACTTACATACAGCACCTTTAATGTACATTGTTGGACAGAAAAGCAGTGTATTTATGCAAATGTAAATCTGGCTGTGAAAATAAAAGTGAAACAAGTTCTCTAAAAACTTTGCTTATAAAAAGCCTGTTTCAGATGCTGCAGGTTATGGCTGTCAAGTAACAAAGCGCAACTTGCTGCATTTAAGTCTGTGTGAAATAAAAAATTACAGTGTTTATTTACTGTGATAGGCTTCAGGGGTCTGTCCTTCGTAGCTCGCTTAAATGATTTGGCAGATCCTGGTTCTGTTAATCCTGATAACTGATCTCTGGCTAATTTGGTTCTTCAAACAAGTTCGCTAATCAGTTAAAAATGTCTGGTTGAACTGATCTGAGATCGCTGCGTGTGTTGTGAAGGACAGATCTATCCATCCTCGAAATCATGATCAGCAACGCTACGATTGGCTGAGGCACAGCAGCGTAATGACATCATCTGATTAATATTCAATTATCCATGTGAGCAAAATTACATCAGATTCATAGGAAACGGTTTGTTAAATATAATACGCAGGCTTTACAATTGCTGCAGGCTTTACAATTTCATGTGTTAAGAGTATTTAGCAATTTATTTAGTGTTACATTTAGAGCGGGTTTTCTTTATTAAAGTAGCCTTGGCCTATTTAAGTGTCTTAATCAGCAAATTTAAATTAATTTTGCATCAAAAAAGCATTTTGATATGGGTAAATGTGTCTGCAACTTCTGCAAATCATCAAATCACCGGTATATTAGCTGTCAAAATATATGCACATGACTGCATAAAATATTATTCTTTAAAAAAACAAACAAACAGAAAATTTGTAATATTGTGAACAGAATATTCTGCATGTCTATTATCATAACCAAATTATAAAGCTGGGTCGATACCTTAAAATAGTTTGTATCTAAAAAGTAAAATTTAATAAATGTTCTCTTTGATCTCCTTGGGATATTTCTTAAAACTTATATGTGTATAAACAAATGTTATTCATTATTTAATTTTAAATATTACTAATTAAATTATAAACGTGTTATAATTTATGTGTTATAAACTTTTTTTTTTTACTATTTTACTATTTTGCCAAGTGTATATAACTTATCAGTTGGCTCACACTTAACCTGCACGCACAGAAATCCACAGATTTTTTTGGCCATAATTTAGTTTATGTATTTACTTGTGTAAATGTTTGTAAATTAATATTTATTTAGTTTTTGAATTAATTTGACTGATAATTTTGTGATTTAACAACAGTAATATTAAAATTTTCATATGATTTATTTACTATCCAGTTTGATTTGTTTACCAAATAAGTGGATCTAATTGGACTTGCATTGTAAAAATGTTTAAGTTAAAAATGTGTTTATTTTTATTTAATGTATAAAGTTTTTAGTTATGATGCCTCTAAAATAATGACACATAAATCTGCAGATTTTTTACAAATTCTCAGCAGAAATAGCAAAAAATGTCAGCAGATTCTGTCTGGCCCTAGCTATAGGTTACTTCTGTAAGAAAATATCAGAATTCGGTACTTTCAGTATTAGCTTTGCTTGAAATGAGTCGATCTAATCCTGTTTATATACACAGGCTTTACATTTTCATGTGTCAAGAGTATTTAGCAATTTAGTTCGTTTTACAGTTAGAGTGGATTTTCTTTATTATAGTAGCCGGTTTCTTAATTGGTGTAAGGAATAACTGGATGTTTAAATAAATTTTGCATAAAAAAAGCATTTTGATGTTGGTGAAGGCATCTGCATCAAATCACCGGCATATTAGCTGTCAAAATATGTTCATGACTGCATAAATGTATTATTCCTTTGCATATTGTGCATGTCTATTATCATACACAAATTGTATAGGCTACTAAAGCGATTGTACGCGTTTTTATCTAAATAGTTAATAAAATTTCAATAAAATTTATCAATAAAATTTCTCTTTGAACCACCAGGTGGCAGTCTTTTACATATATTTATATATAAAAATATATATAAATATTGGGAAAAATAAATAAATAAATAAATATATATATATATATATATATATATATATATATATATATATATATATATTTTTTTTTTTATTTATTTTTCCCAAGTATATATAACTACTGTAAGAAAATATCAGAATTCGGTACATAATTTCAGTATTATCTTTGCTTTTAAATTAACCGATCTAATCCCGTTAATATGAAATGAGCTGCTGCTCCTGAGCAGGTTTGAGCTACCAGAACTGTTGTTATGCCAACAACTCTCGGATGAGTTTTGAAGAACCAAACGATCCTGGATCGTGTTAAATCGTCAATAACCAAATCCAGCTAACTGAGTAATCCACGTACGAAGGACGGACCCCAGGTGAACAATTAATCCGTGCAAGTTAATCCACTGAAAAAAAGGTTGTTTCAGTAATCTTCAATCAAGAAAGTCTGAACATCTGCTTCTTAGTTTGCAGTGGTGGGCTTCTCTGATGATGTCAGTTTAATGGCTTCAGACACGTTATTTTAGCCACGCCCCTCTTTTATTGATTAAAATCATTTTACCAATCCTTTTTTTTTGTTTGCTCAAATTTTCACCCCCGCCAAACGTCAACCAAATGTCTTCACAGATTGCTGTAATGCCAGATTTTTAAATCAGGCTACACTAGTGCTTCAACATTGTTAAATGGGTTAAATGAAAGCTCTAAAGCTGGAAAATTCTTTATTCATAGCTTTATTTTTTGATTTGTCAATCTTTCCTTTTAGATCTTGCCATTCATCTTGGGCTAAAAAAGGTTGGTGACCACGGATTTAAAGTCTGTGTGAGCCGGAAGTTGCTGCAGACTTTTATTTTAGTCTGATGATGCATCTCCAGCTGAATCGGAATAATGAGTTCCACTGTTTAATACAACTTTCCCTTTAAGTGCACTTTAACCCCCATCCTCCTTACTTTCTAATTTTTGTCCTCCAGTTGCCTTTCCACCCCCTTCTCCATTCAGTCTCCTTCTTTGTTCCTTTAGTCTGCTTTTGTCCCGTTTGCGCGCACACACACATACACACACTCTTGTCAGCATATCTGCAGTCTCCTAATCCTTGAATCTCCCCATGAACTCCTCTATTTAACCTTCTGTATGTGTGTGTGTGTGTGTGTGTGTTTGTGCAGTGCCCGTCGGGCCGTACCCTCCGCCCCTGCAGCAGGTGTTTCAGGCGCCCCGCAGGCCCGGCATGGGCACCGTCGGCAAACCCATCAAACTGCTGGCGAACTACTTCGAGGTGGAGATCCCCAAAATGGACGTGTTTCACTATGAGGTGGACATCAAGCCTGATAAGTGCCCTCGACGGGTCAACAGGTAAACACAGTGAAAGTGAAGGTCATGTTATATGTTACAATAAAACCGTTGGAGTTGCATGAAAAATAAATAAGCAATGCATGAAATCAAGTGAAGCCGGATTGAAATATCTAGATTTGAAAACACAGTAGGAAATTGATTTATTGTAAGGCCCTGTTTACACTAATACGTTTTAGTTTTAAAACGGGGTTTTACAACGAAAACGATGCACGTCCACACTGGCGTTTCACCAATCGTTTCTGATAAGATCTCTGTCCACACTATACTGATAAAAATGCACATCACGTGACCACACACACCTTGACATGCACTGCAGCATATGCAGACGTCTGAGCTCCAGGCAGTCAGCGGGTGCTTTGAGCACAGCTCCCCAGGTGAGAGCAGCACACGTCGGACAGTATCTTCCACTGGATTTCATCCCACTGTTGTTGTTAAACGTGATATTTGATTCATTGTGTCTCGACTGTTTGGTCTTTTGAATCCATTACTTGTTCCCAGGTAATGCATTTTGGCTGAGCGCACAGATAAGTTAATATATTAATTGCTTGTCTTTATTTTCTATATTGTATAAACTTGTACTGTATACTTTTATAATGGCCGTTATGGATTATTAAACTGATATTCAGCAAAAGGGAGAGTATGTTTCATATTTTTCGAAGAAAATGAAAGGAGGCAATAATGTTATAGGCTCGGTTTTGCTATAAATATGCCTACAGTGAAGATGACGGTCATGTAAATATGCAGCTACACGACGCCTCATCATTTTTGGTGTCTGTTAAAAAAACAGTTTTTGAAATTGTTGCAAATTTATTAAAAATAGAAAAAAATCACATGCACATCAGTATTCTCAGTCTTTGCTGAATACTTTGTTGATGCTCCTTTGGCAGCGATTACGGCCTCAAGTCTTTTTCAATATGATGCCACAAGCTTAGCACACCTGTCTTTGGGAATTTTTGCTCATTCCTCATTGCAGTACCTCTCAAGCTCTATCAGGTTGGATGAGAAGCGATGGTGTACAGCCATTTTCAGATCTCTCCAGAGATGTTTAATAGGATTTAGATCTGGGCTCTGGCTGGGCCACTCAAGGACGTTCACTGAGTTGTTCTAAAGCCACTTCATTGATGTTTTGGCCGTGTGCTTTGTGTCATTGTCCTGTTGGAAGATGAACCATCACCCCAGTCTGAGTAATACCTGGCATTCCCTCCAAAGAGTTCAATTTGAGTCTCATCAGAGCAGAGAATTTGGTTTCTTATGGTCTGAGAGTCCTTCAGATGCTTTTTGGCAAACTCCAGGTGGGGAGTGGTTTCAGTCTGGCCACTCCACCATACAGGCCTGATTGGTGGATTGCTGCACAGATGGTTGTCCTTCTGTAAGGTTCTCCTCTCTCCACAGAAGAACTCAGGAGCTCAGACAGAGTGATCATCGGGTTATTGATCACCTCCCTGAATAAAGCCCTTCTCCCCCGATCACTCAGCTTAGATGGCCGGCCAGCTCTAGGAAGAGTCCTGGTGGTTCCAAACATCTTCCACTTACAGATGATGGAGGCCGCTGTGCTTATTGGAACTTTCAGAGCAGCAGAAATGTTTCTGTAACCTTCCCCAGCCTTGTGCCTTGAGACAATCCGGTCTCAGAGGACTACAGACAATTCCTTTGTCTTCATGCTTGGTTTGTGCTTTGATATGCACTGTCAACCCTGGGAGCTTATATAGACAGGTGTATGCCTTTTCGGATCATGTCATCAACTGAATTGACCACAGGTGACCTCCAATGAAGCTGCTGAAACATCTCAAGAATGATCAGTGGAGACAGAATTTCTGAGCTCAATTTACAGCTTCACGGCAAAGTCTGTGAATACTGATGTACATGTGATTTTTTTTAATAAATTTGCAACAATTTCAAAAACTCTTTTCTCACATTATCATTATGAGGATTTGTGTGTAGAATGGTGAGGAAATAAATGAATTTAATCCATTTTGGAATAAAGCTGTAACATAAAAAATGTGGAAAAAGTGAAACGCTATGAATACTTTCCGGATGTACAGTATTGGTGTTTACGGGACCTAAATGCATGTATGAAAAACACATATATAATATTTTACATTGAAATTTAGAAGTGTGAGTTATTTTTTTAAAAATATTCTTACAGATTACCAAACAAATTCAATTGAAAACTTATTATTTAAACGTTACATGAAATAAAATTAAACTTAAATGCTAAATAGAAATAAACATAACTGAAGTAAAAAAAAAAAAAAGGACTGAGATCTAAACAAAATTAAATGAAACTGTAAATGAAATATATATAAGTTGAGATGACTAGTAAAGTTCATTTGATTCATTGAAAAAATGTAAGGGAGAAAGATTTATTTTACAGTGTTTTGAAGCTCAACTAAATCTTCTGCCACTCTGTTAAATACAGCCTAAGCCTGGTTTATTCCTGACGCGTCTGTACAAGCGCGAGGATGAGTGTGAAAGTGACATCATTAGTTTAACACACTCTCTAATAAAACACACACGCTTTCTGAAGCTGAAAGTGATGCACAAAAACATGTTCACTTCTACTGTAATATTGTCAGTTACAGGTCATCAGATGCTTTGGTTTTTATTTGTGTTATACGTTTTTTTTTATACACATTTAACTTATAAATAAATTTTGTTTGATTTAATAATATTGTTGTTATCATACCATAAAACTGTCTTTAATATACACTCATCGGCCACTTTATTAGGTACATCTGTCCAACTGCTCGTTAACGCAAATTTCTAATCAGCCAATCACATGGCAGCAACTCAATGCATTTAGGCATGTAGACATGGTCAAGACGATTTGCTGCAGTTCAAACCGAGCATCAGAATGAGGAAGAAAGGGGATTTAGGTGACTTTGAACGTGGCATGGTTGTTGGTGCCAGACGGGCTGGTCTGAGTATTTCAGAAACTGCTGATCTACTGGGATTTTCACGAACAACCATCTCTAGGGTTTACAGAGAATGGTGTGAAAAAGAGGAAAAATCTAGTGAGCGGCAGTTCTGTGGGCGCAAATGCCTTTTTCATGCCTTAGAGTCAGAGGAGAATGAGCAGACTGGTTTTAGCTGATAGAAAGGCAACAGTAACTCAAATAGTCACTCGGTACAACCGAGGTCTGCGGAAGAGCATCTCTGAAGACACAACATGTCCAACCTTGAGGCGGGTGGGCTACAGCAGCAGAAGACCACACCGGGTGCCACTCCTGTCAGCTAAAGCCGCCTTTCCACTGCACATGATATTGGACACGACTGTGGGAATACGCCCCCTTTTGGCAGTCACACAGAATTTTCACTTCTGACATGCACCATGGGAGAGAAGCTGTTCTGGCAGTATCCGAAATAAAGGATTGCAAAAGCAAGGGTCTTTATTTTCTGTGTGTTCACCATGGTTGAATGAATACTATAAACTCCTAGACGGCTAAAAATAATGGAGGGAATGTGGAGACAACATAAAAATATATATTTTTATTACTTTAATACTTACATTTATGAACAGAATTTTATTTATTTTTTAATATAGACTTTTTCTGATTCAAAAAATAACCAAATAAACTAGTATTTCCCATCTCGCACGCACGGACTTGCTTGGATAACACTGGAATACGTCACATCCGGTCGGCCAGTCGCATAAGGTCTAGTCGCAGGAGACTCTACTCTCGCTCTCGAACTACTCTCCATTGCAAATAAATGACTTCCGGTCTGTCACTTGTCGTTTGTCATGTGCAGTGGAAAGGAGGCTTAAGAACAGGAAACTGAGGCTACAATTCTCACAGGCTCACCAACAGACAATATTGGTGACAAAAGAAGATCCACAGTCACCAGCTCCCAAACCAATAGAGCACCTTGAATGGGAGATTGGCATTATGGATGCGTAGCCGACAAATCTGCAGCAACTGTGTGATGCTCTCATGTCAATATGGAGCAAAATCTCTGAGGAATATTTCCAGTACCTTTTTGAATCTGAGTCATGAAGGATTAAGGCAGTTTTGAATGCAAAAGGGGGTCCAACCTGGTACTAGTAAGGTGTACCTAATTAAGTGGCCGGTAATAGTATATGCATAAAATATGGTAATTTTAAAAATGAATACATTTGCTAAAGAAAAAAAAAGAGATTTAAAACTCCAACCAATCCTATTTATTTTGTAGTCATCATAACACAGTAATGATCTTATTTACATTAACCCAAATGAGAATAATCAATAAGTTGTGTGTTTAAATGTGTTTCTCCACAGGGAGGTTGTTGAATATATGGTCCAGCATTTCAAGCCGCAGCTCTTCGGTGACCGAAAGCCAGTGTATGATGGGAAGAAGAATATCTACACTGTTTTAGCGTTACCTATAGGCAGTGAAAAGGTACACAAAAAAGCTCAGTTTGTCATTTTCATTGATAAAACAATTGAATCTTTCTCAGTGAAAATATTTTTAATATTGTACAATTCATTATCTTTCATTTCCCTTTCTTTAAGCTAGTTTTGCTTCTTTTTCTTCTATAAAACCTTAAAGGATCTTTCACTTTATTTTCTGTGTTACAGGACATTAAATTTTTAATTTAATATTTTAAATTTTAAATTTTTATTTTAATTTAAAATTTTTGATTTTAATATTTATGTTTAGAAAACACAATGTTATGATTAAAGGGATTTATTTGCATTCTGTATTGTGAAAAATATATTTATGTATACCTAAAATAATTTTGTAAGTAGACAAAAAAAACGCAACAAATTAATTTAGAAACAGTTGAGTTCCCCCTTTCTTTTCTCACATTGGTTTGCCCCACTGCCTGCTTTCCCAGTTCATCTCGCCTACTCTACACCACAGGTGTCAAACTCAGTTCCAAAAGGGCCGCAGCTCTGCACAGTTGAGTTCCAACCCTAATTAAACACACCTGATCAAACTAATTGAGTCCTTCAGGCTTGTTTGAAACCTACAGGTAAGTGTGTTGGAGCAGGGTTGGAACTAAACCAGGGGTCATCAATCTCTGTCCTGGAGGGCTGGTGTCCCTGCAGGATTTAGCTCCAACTTGCCTCAACACACCTGCCTGGATGTTTCAAGTATACCTAGTGAGACATTGATTAGCTTGTCCAGGTGTGTTTGATTAGGGTTGGAGCTAAAATCTGCAGGACACCGGCCCTCCAGGAACAAGTTTGGTGACCCCTGAACTAAACTGTGCAGGGCTTCGGCCCTCCAGGATTTGAGTTTGACACCCCTGCTCTACACCATAGACTGTAAAAGATATGGACGTAGTATTCGTGACATCTCTCATAGGTTTCTGAAGAATGCAAAAGAAGCTACCAGTAGAGCTGGCAATGAAGCGGTACATGAGCAAAGCTACAGACACCTGCTAGCATTTTGCTTAGACAGGCTTTTCTTTAGGAGAATTGCTTAATACTTCATTACCCGTGACTCGTTTGTGTTCTGACCACATGTGCTTGGTTGTACACTATATCAATAAAGTGTTTAGTCTTTTAAAAACACTGCTGTAATACATTGAGCCACTAAGCATTGTTCTCATGACGTTTTTCTACAGGAGGAAACCGAGAATTACTCCCAAATACTTCAAAGATAGTCTGTGTTAGTAAATGCAAGGCATAACACTGTATGACAACGCTTCAGATGACTGTTTTAGAGCCTGCAGCTAATCAATGTGTCAGATTCTGAAGTGCTTTACAGCTCTAAAGACAATTATTAATGATAAATTATATTAAATAAAGCAAACACATTTATAGAGATGATATATAAGTGTATAATTTCACTCACCTGGGAAACGGAGGCCACGTGAATGGGTTGTGAGCACAATTAAGTGCACACGGCATGCCATATCATCTGATGATTGTAAAAAATTATTCCAAAAAGCAACTGACCGTGTAAAGCTGCATGAAACGAAACAAAAATACAATGAGTATGCCGAGTTCAGCAGCTAATCAACTGAGGTGAAGTGACTGTGACCAGAGAGATCTAGCTGTCACTCAAATGGCCACGCCTTTTATTATGCAGACTTAATATAACTTAATATAAACGAATCAGATGAGTTATTAATAAATCACCCCCCTCACAGTTGTCATGAAGAGTAATATTAGCTGTATGAACCAACATCATTCTTTGTACCAGGCTGTAAACAGCTTTTTTCCTCCTGTAGTTGACCGTTTTAACAGTGGACTCAATAGAAACTTGCTCTATTATGGAGGCAGGACTAGCGGAATTACGATAAATTGCAGTTTCAGTTACTTCCGTATTTGCTTCCCGAGGAAGAGGGGATCTCTTTCTAGTGCGTGTCCTGTTTTCGTTACTGCAGACTAGTACAGTAAACAGAAAGAAAGAAGAAATGCCCGCATGTGTTTAGCGATGTTCCTTATCTCAAACACAACAGTAATCTAGTAGTGTTTGCTTTGCTTTGGCCTTTTTGGGGTTAGTTATTGTGATATCCCGATTACAACAGAGAGATACTGGGAAATCTCTTTAGACTAATGGCATTTCATGCCGTTCAGCCTTATTAACTTAATGCGAGTAAAATCACCTATTTTGTCAACACTTTAAGCATTACACTACAGAATTATTCAAACTAAAGTGACGTTGGTAAATTAGTAACGGCTTTTACCGTACTGATGTCAGCTGCAGATGTGAATGAATGGCGGAAGAAATTAGTTTCTCAAACAAAAAGGTTTTGAGACTGTTTGATTTTCTTTTTTATACACACGATTATGCGTAGAACTGTTGTATAAACGCATTATCACATGAGTAGCAGTGCGATATGGCTGCATATCAGCACTGGTAGGACACTAAGGCACTCAGCCTGCGGCCTCGAGCAAATGAATGCCTCCCACCAGTGCCATTATACAGCCATATCACACTGCTAATCATGCGCTATTGCATATATGTATATATATATATATATATATAAATAAATATATATATAAATAAATATATATAAATAATAAAATATATATATATATATATATATATATATATATATATATATATATATATATATATATATACATATACATATATAATTTTTAGAGTCAATATTATTAGCAATTTTAAAAAATAATTCAATTTTTTTTTTTGTCTACAGAACAAACCACTGTTACACAATGACTTGGCTAATTAACCTACTGTAATTTGCCTAGTTAAACTAATTACCCCAGTTAAGCCTTTAAATGTCACTTTAAGCTGCCATGATACTAGTATCTTAAGTCATGGCAAAGACAAAACTAGTTATTAGAAATTAGTTGTTAATTAAATGTATCGTGTCCAAAATGCGTAAAAAAATCTCTCTGTTAAATAGCACTTGGGAAATATCAGGAAAAATATTTCAAATTACACAAGAGGGGCTAATAATTTTGTATATTCCCATCCCTTAATAATTTCATATAGGATTAATGTAATTCTCTATTGATTCTCTAATAATTGTGATGTGATTCTCTACTGATTCTCTAATGATTGTGATGTGATTCTCTACTGATTCTCTAATAATTGTGATGTGATTCTCTAATGATTCTCTAGTAATCTGATTGTGTGCATGTGATTTAATGCTGCAGGTTGATTTTGAGGTGACCATTCCTGGCGAGGGGAAGGATCGAATCTTTAAGGTGTCGATCCGCTGGTTGGCGAAGGTGTCCTGGAGGCTCCTGCAGGAGACGCTGGTCAGTGGGCGACTGCAGGTCCCGCTGGAGTCCGTTCAGGCTCTCGACGTGGCCATGAGACACTTGGCCTCCATGAGGTAACCCTGTTGTTATTAGGGTGATATATGGACCCTTTTTCACATTTCTGCGTTTCTCAGTAGCGGTCATCATAGTTGGTAAACTAAGAGCGCAGTGAATGGGAGAATACAACACATCATTTTTTTGCAATCCTATATGCTGAAATATTAAAAGAAAAACTCCCCAGTGGTGTTATGGAGACTTTCAGAAAAAGGAAAACAAATAGTGTGAGACTGATAGATGCAGAAAAAAAGAGAGAATGACCTCAATTTTACTGTCCTGCCCCCATAGACTCTCCATTACATACACCTCGGACAAGCGGTTATTCATTTTTTTGCATTTGAAACACATGTAAATGCTCACAAGCTTAAATAAAGCAGGGTCCCCGCGGGGTCTTAAAAAGTGTGAAAAAGTCTTAAATTAAAAAAATCTATATTTATGGCTTTAAAAAGTCTAAAATTTGCTGTTCTAGGTCTTAAATATTTTAGCACAGGTCTTATTTTTGTGATGTCCATGTAACGCTACATCTAATGCTCATTTAAATTCTTTTTGTTGTTGTTGCTTGGTTTTTGGGGTGTTGTAGTTCTTTATTTCACTAGTCCAATTGTAATTTGTGATATTACAACTACAAAAAGGTCAACTTGCAATAGCCAATCAGCTTTCTGATATTAAACTCATGTGACATCATCGCTGTGTTTGCGGAAGTTCGCTTTGAGTGCGCGCGACATGATTTCGGCTGGCAGAGTATGCCGTTATTTCACTGACAAATGTCGCAAGTGCAGTTTTATAAGTCGAAAGCGCTGTAATACGAGAGAGCGAATCTCTGCTCACGCACCGGTTTCCTTTGTTCATGGACAAAACTGCTGGCGAGCTCTCAAAACACTGACTGCTCACGTGCGAATGATCTGCTCTCGCTCCGTCGGACTCCTTTCGTGCTTTTAGCTCTCAAGAGATGCTTCAGCATACTGTAGTATTAAGAATAGTGGACTGATAAAATGAAATACAGTGTAGTTTTACTACAGTAAAGTGTGTTGAATTGTAGAAAAATATACCCTATATTGTGAAAAAACTAAAGCACTGGGTAGTTTGTTTTTAATACACTTGTTGTGTTACCATAGCAACTATAGAATTACCACAACAGAGTAACTGAAGTAGTTTACTGTACTTTACAAAACACTGTACAGCAGACACTAGTTCACTTTATTTTAGTGATGAAATGGGATTGATAGTGGGATTTATTTGAAGAGTGAATAGTACAGGAGGCTATAATACCTAATTAAGTTTTTACCTATTTTCTATCAGTTACATTTCTGCTTGCCAGAATGACCAATAATTATTGGCCAGAAATTGCAACAGCCATGGGAAAGGAGGAAAGTTTTTGTAAAACTTTGAAAAAACCTGAGTGAAAAGTTTGTTAAAACAACAAAAAAAAGAGACCCCCAAAAACATCTTCAATGATAATGATTATCTTTTTATTCGTCTGATTTTACTTTCTGTTTTTTTGGACCGCCCCCAGTCATTTAAAAAAATACCTCAATGGCGAACGTGTCAAGTTTAAAAGCTTTAATCCGTTTCATGAGTTTTGCGATGCGGTGCCAGGTGAAAGTATAAATCTGCATTCAGATGTTTGTTTTTCTGTAGTTCAATGGTGATTTTAACCTGACTTTAGTACTGTTCAATTTAAATAACTTTATTTTACCCCTAATTTTTTGCTTTTACATTTTTGTGCTTTTAAACATCTTGCGTGTTTTTGATATTGCGATATAGGTCTTAAATTTAACACTTAATGGTCTTAAAAAGGTCTTAAATTTGACATTATGATATCTACAGAGACCCTGTCAAAAAACTCTTAAGTATTAAAAATGGATTTAAGATGCTGATGACCGTTAAACGTGTCCAAAGGCTCCATTGACAGTAAAAAATAAATCCCAGTGCTTTTGAATAAAGCCCTGCTCACACTGTGAGATTTCAGCCAAGATTCTGTCATCCGAGACAAATTTGGGAAATGCTAAAAGATTCCTGAAATTCTAGGCTGGAATCTGCCCTTTGATCGTTGGTTTGACATGTCGCTTAGTGCCCATTGCGATCAGATTTTTCCTCCGATGAAGTTCTGGCAGTGCCAGAAGATTTCAGACTCTTTCCTGCAGTGTGACAACAGCTGCGATGAGCGTCAATCCAAGAACAAATAGGAGCTCAGAATGTGATGACGCAATGCATGCGACAATTCAAATGACCGCGGGGAAACAGTTTTTTTTTCTTCCTGGTTTTATTATTGAGTCTTGCTCTGTGCAAAATTGCTGCTACAGATTATTTACGTTTGCTGTGAGGAATCATTTCAGAACACTGGATAATCAAAGTGTCACGGATGGATGACGTCAAACTCCTGGGGTGTTTTTTTTCCATGTTTGGCGTGTCTTCATTGTCATTCAGTCTGACATAATGACAGCTGAGATCTTACAGTGTGACATGGGAGCCATGTTCGTGCAGTCTGACATGCTACAATCCTTCAGGATTATAAAAGGTCACACAGTGTGAGCCGGCCTGAAGTTTGCATGATACTGGGAAAATATGCGATATTGAAAACCCAGACTGGAGATATGTGTCCAGGACTACATTTTTGAGAACCGACAAATATGTACCCTGGACTATGTGGTCTTACAGTTTTTGTTTTCACAAATCCAGTATAGGGCGCCGTGTACATTTCTGACAATCTCAAATAGGTTTCTGGGCACTTTTTCCCTCATACTTCCCGTTTCTTGTATTCAGATGATGCTGTGAACATTGCAGTGAATATTATATCCTTCAAACCAGTGGTCCACAATTACAGGGCCGTGGATCAATTGGTACTGGACTGCACAAGAATTTATTAATTATTTCCATTTTATTTATTATCTGAGTTTAAACGATCTTTTATTTTGAAAAATCTTTGATTTGTCACATGAGCGCCCAAATTTAACCCACAAGCAGCAAAATGAGTAAGAAACACGTCTTTGGAAAGTTTTCTAAGGGGAAAAGTCCCAGTAAAGCACTGCCAACGAATGGATCCACATGCCATTTGTCAACAAATCAGGTGAATTGACCATGTTTGTGCAAGATCAACTGATTGAGATCCCAAATGACGGTGGCCTTTTAGGGGTCAGTGGCATATCGTGTCTTTTCTAGAGTTTCCGCAAGTTCGTTGTTCCCATTGGAGGTGTGCGGCTTGTGTACACAAGCGGTGTGACACGCTTGCTTCCAGGCGAACCCAGTTAAATGCGACAGGAACTGACTGCTTCAGCTTGTATGGAGTATACACATTTCTGTGGACTAATAATCCAAGACAAACACAGAACACCCAAACATTGCAGTGCTTTAATTCTCTCCATAAATAAACTTGTTTCAGAGTGACAGCAATGTTTTGCCAGCTTGTCATTCTCTGAGAAAAAGTTTGATAGTCGCCTAGCAACCTACAACCCCCAACCCCCCCCAAACCCCAACCAACCGGACCAGTCCGTAGTGATAAAAGGGTTGGGGACCTCTGCTTTAAACCAGTCGGCTGGTCGTTGTGTTTAATATATTAGCTTGCTATCAACTGTCAAATCAAAATGTATTTACCCCAAGATACTGACCTAAATATTATGTTTCTGCTTTACTCTTCCCTCTGCAGGTACACTCCAGTGGGCCGCTCCTTCTTCTCGCCTCCTGAAGGTTACTACCATCCTCTAGGTGGCGGCAGAGAGGTGTGGTTCGGCTTCCATCAGTCCGTTCGACCCGCCATGTGGAAGATGATGCTCAACATTGATGGTATGACATCACCACTTTACTCAGTTTCTTACTCCTGTCAAGAAATGTCCATATTCTGGATATATGCAACAAACATCTCCATCTGTGTTCTTCTCAGTATCTGCAACAGCCTTTTATAAAGCTCAGCCTGTCATTGAGTTCATGTGTGAAGTCCTGGACATCCGTAACATTGATGAGCAGCCCAAGACACTAACTGACTCGCAGAGGGTCCGGTTCACCAAGGAGATCAAAGGTGGGTTTCTCCTCTGCTCAGTTCAGAAGAAACTCAGCAACTGCCCATCAACATAGTAACAATGATGCTAAATGTTCCAACAACCTTGATTTGAAACACCTTGACAACTCCCTAGCAACACTCTAGGAATCTTTCATCCACCACTTAAAACACCTCATCAACATGCCGACAATTATCCACAATACTGTAGCAACCACCCCGAGAACCTCTTAGCAACTAACATACATTTATACCAAGATTACTTAGCCACTGCCCAGACACACCAAGCAACGCTGAAACCACCACTGAAATACTTTAGCAACTGCCTAGCAACGCCATAATAATGTGGCATCCAACACTGAAAACACCTTAGCAACTGCCTAGTAACACCCAAGGAACCTTGCATCCACCACTGAGAAAACCTTAGCAACTGCCTAGCAACATGCAAACAATCAACTTAAATACTGTGGCAAAAACCTCTTAGAAACTTTATACCAAGGTAACTTAGCAACTGCTCACAACACCCAAGCAAACACCACTAAATACCTTTGAAACTGCCTAGCTACACCTTAGCAAGATGAAAACAACAACTGAGAGCACTGTAACAACTGTCTGGCAACACTTTACCAATCTTAACATCTTAGCATAATAATATTCCCCCAAAATGCCTTAGCAGCTGCCTGGCAACACTATAGCAACATTGCAACCACCACTGAGAACACCTTAGCAACTGCCTAGCAACATACTGACAATTATACACAATTCCCTTGCAACGACCTCTGAGAGCATCTTAGTAACAACCTAGAACCATACTGACAATTATACAAAATTCCCTTACAACCACCACTGAGAACACCTTAGTAACTGCCTAGCAACATACTGACAACTAAACAAAATTCCCCAGCAACCACCACTGAGAACACCCTTGCAACAACCAAGAAACATACTGACAATGAAACAGAATTCCCAAGCAACCACCACTGAGAACACCTTAGCAACTGCCTAGCAACATACTGACAATTAAACAAAATTCCCTGGCAACCCCCACTAAGAACACCTTAGTAACTGCCTAGCAACATACTGACAACTAAACAAAATTCCCTGGCAACCCCCACTAAGAACACCTTAGTAACTGCCTAGCAACATACTGACAACTAAACAAAATTCCCCAGCAACCACCACTGAAAACACCTTAGCAACAACCTAGAAACATACTGACAATTAAACAAAATTCTCTAGCAACCACCACTAAGAACACCTTAGCAACTGCCTAGCAACATAAGGACATTTAAACAGAATTCCCTATAAACCACCACTGAGAACACGTTAGCAACAACCTAGTAACAAACTGACAATTAAACAAAATTCCCTAGCAACCACCACTGAGAACACCTTAGCGACAGCTTAGTAATGCGCTGGCAGTAACTGCACACATTAAAGTGCTGCTGACTGTTCGGTTGTTAAGAGATGATGTCAGTGGATGATCTCAGTGGTCCGCTCATGGTTTAATCTTGTAGTTTATTTATTAGAGTAGATTGGTTGAGTCATCTTGATGTCATTCTTTTAATACAGTCATTGATTTATAAATGTAACCCTGCACAACACTCCAGATTTCTGATGCTTTCCTAGAGGAGCTATTGTGGATCAGGCCTATCATGTTAGTCTTATTCTGAACACTGTAATCACTGCCCTGCTGTGGCTGAAAGTGCCGCGCTGTTTATGTACTCCACTCCACTTTTAGGAGGCAGTTGGCTCATTTTACAACTCCACAATTGATAGTTTTCAGTCATGTGACCAGTGTGGAGACCTGACGAGCAAAAAAAAAAAAAGGGGCCATAATGGCAGCTAGACTGGGATCTCCATAGAAATGCAGCACAATCTGGTCAAATGCAAGCTTCAATGCTCTTATGGTCGCCCACTGAAGCTAAGCAGGGCTGTGCACGGTCAGTCCCTGGATGGGAGACCACATGAAAAAGCTAGGTTTCTGCCTGTGTTAGTGAGGCCAGGAGGGGGCGCTCAACCTGCGGCCTGTGTGGGTCCTAACGCCCCAGTATAGTGATGGGGACTCTATACTGCTCAGTGAGCGCTGTCTTTCAGATGAGACGTTAAACCGAGGTCCTAAATCTCTGTGGTTGTTAAAAATCTCAGGATGTCCTTCGAAAAAGTGTAGGGTTGTTACTCCGACATCCTAATTAAATCATGGCCTACTAACCATCCCCATACCATAATTGGCTTCATCAATCTGTCTCCTCTCCACCGATCACCTAGTCTGTTGTGTGCAGCCTGGCACAATATGGCTGCCATCGCTTCATCCAAGTGGATGCAGCACACTGGAGGTGGATGAGCAGACGCCTATCTTGTGGATATTCCTCAACGTCATTAGTCATTAGTGACTGCATTATAGATTGTAAGGCCCAATCCCAATTCTATTTTTGTACCTCTACCCCTTCCCCTTCCCCTTGGCCCTTACAACAGAGGGTGCTTCAAAATGTACCCCTAAGAATTGGGACAGCACTACAGCACCTGCACACGTCATCATATGTCCTTGCGATCTCTTGCTTCATGTGAGATCAGACGATGGCGGCTGCTGTAGTGATTCCAGTTGTGTTATTCTTTGGTGTTTATCTTCAGTAAATCTCTGAAGGCATATTTTATGTTATCATAACGATCTAATGTGGCAAATAAGATCGTAACTGTACTGTGTATTTACACAGTGGCCATATTCATCAATGTAAAAACACCAAAAACAACAATAACATTATAGCAGACACTGTAAAATGCCAATTGACAGCCACTAGACATCACTGACAGGGTATTCGAGTGTCAGAATGTTGTGGGACTGCTGTACAGGAGTTATTAATAGGGATTATAGATTGCAAAATTAAGCTTTTTTTCTTAGGGTTGTTTTTAAAAGCATGACGGTAAAACACGAACGCGGTTATGAATGTATTTAAACGTGTTTGTTTGTCGTATAAATTCATAATAATGACAAAAAATACAAATTTTGTGGATCTCCTTACTTCCGGGTTTAGCAATACTGCCATTGTGGCTGGTGTATTCTGGAAATTTTCTTACCTCTTGCTTTCAAGTGTGGTCCTGAAAACTCTTCGTTCGAAGGGCTATTCACCCCTTCCCCTTAGCCCTACGCCTTCTAGCTAAAGAGAATTGGGACACCTCTACCCCTTGGTGTGCATGCGCAAAACGAGGGGTAGGGGTAAAGGGAAGGGCTAGACTTGGGATTGGGCCTAAGTGTCTGCATTTATGTTTGGTGTCTTTGTTTTTGCTTATATTAATATTTGCTGGTTGGGAAAATCTACTCGTTCACTTCTGCTATTTATCCTTTGTCTTTGCATTTCAGTTTATGCAACCCCAAATCAGAAAAAGTTGGGGGAGCATGGAAAACGCAAATAAAAAAGAAAGGAGGGATTTCCCAATTGACTTTGACTTGTATTTCATTGCAGAGAATGAACACAAAATATTTCATGTTTTGTGTGGTCAACTTCATTTCATTTTGCAGGTCTGTCATTCAGACCCATTCCAAAGAAAGTTGGGACAAATGCAGTTCATGGCTAGCAGTCTGGTAAATTGGTTAAATAATGATGTGATTTGAAGCAGGTGATGTCAACAGGTGATTGTAATTAAGATTTGGGATAAAAGCAGCATCCAAGAAAGGTCTAGTCCTTTAGGAGCAAAGATGGGCAGAGGATCGCCAGTTAGCCAACAAATACGTGAGAAAATAATTGAAATTTGTAGAAACAAACAATGTTCCTCAAAGAAAGATGAGAAGACATTTGGATATTTCAACTTCAACAGTGCATAATATAATTAAAAGATATAAGGAATCTCAAGGAATGCTAGTCCAAAAATGACAAGACTAAACAACTCTGAACAACTCTGATCTCCGATTCCTCAGGCGACACTACATCAAGAATCCTCATTCATCTATAGGCCATATCACCACATGGGCTCAGGACTACTGCAGCAAAGCTTTGTCAAGTACCACAATACATAGTTACATTCACAGATTGCAGTTAAAACTGTACTGTGCCAAAAGGAAGCCCTATGTTAACAGTGTCCAGAAGTACTGTTGACTTCTATGGGCTCGGAGGCATCTGGGATGGACTATCACACAGTGGAAACGTGTGCTGGGGTCAGATGAATCAGTATTTCAGGTATTTTTTGAGAGAGAGAAATGGATGCCATGTGCTCAGGACCAAAGAAGAAATGGATCATCCAGACTGTTACCAGCAACAAGTCCAAAAGTCAAGGTCTTTCATGGTATAGGGTTGTGTCGAGTGCCTGAGGCAAAGGTAACTTGCATTTCTGTGATGGCACCATTGGAGCACGACCATGCAAAACCACATTCTGGACACAAAGTCAAAGTCCTGGCTGCGAAGGAAGAGGATACAGGTACTTGACTGGCCTGCCTGCAGTCCTGACCTGTCTTTAATAGAGAATGTGTGACGCAGTTTGAAGTGCAAAAAATGACCATGAAGACCCCGTACTGTTGCCCACCTTAAGGGCCTACTCACACTATGCCATCCGTACCGTGCCCAGGCCCATTTCCCGGATCGTTTGAGAAGTGTGAGTGCACTGAATCGGGCTCAAGCACGGTTCACTTGGCCGGCCCTGGCCCGGTTGGAAGAGGTGTGCCTGAGCGCAGTTTACTTGGGCTTTGGCACGGTACGCTTGTGTGTGAGTGCAAAACACGCTAAAGCCCGAAACTGAAAGCGAGACGTGACTTTTAAGGGGCTGTTTCATATGGATTTATTAATCAATCTTACTGTTCAGTGATCGCAAACTGCCGTAGTTTATTAAAGACGAGAATTCCTAACTGCACGACAGCTGCGTGGCTTCAGCAGACCTCCTCATTCCTGCAGCACGAGGGCTTTATGATTGTTTATGAGCGCCAAAAGTGGCGGATCGGTTTAGTGAAATGTCTGACTGCGTGTCCCTGCATCCCTAAGGACTGTTTAGCGAAATATTTGACTGCATGTCACTGCATAACAAACGACTGAAACGATATAACTAGAGAAATCTCCACTGTGCTGCTGAGTGAGAGAGCGCTTCTCACTGAACAGTGCAGCATCGATGACGTAAGCGTGCCAAGGCCCGTTTGTGGTGTGAGTACGGGCCGTCGGGGGAGACGGGAGGGGGGACAAGCGTGCTTTGGCCCGGTTCGAGGCAACTGTACCTAGTGTGAGTACGGCCTAAGACTTGTTTGCAGGAAGAATGGGACACAATAACACTTGAAACCCTTCATCATTTGGTGTCTTTAGTCCCTAAACGTCTTTAAAGTGTTGTGAAAAGGAATGGCGACATTACAAAGTCAGGGCTTAACGCTAAGGATTTTTTTGCCCAGTCGGGCCAGTGGTTCAGATTTTGACTTGCCCTGCCAAAATTTTCACAAATTTTTCAAAGAACAAAAAAACAAAAACAAGTTAATAGCTATTTCTCAGCCACATTTTTTAAGTAAAGCACCGTCTGTGAATTTAGAAGTTCATGTTTTTAATGTATTCATTAATAATTAATTCAAAGTGTTATGGAAACAAAAAGTGCAGTATGGAAAACATGCTGGTATTTTATTGAGTTCTAAAGGATTTAATAAACGGCTTTGCCAAACTCTGCTAAACCCCGTTTCTTTTTTTTCAACGTGTTGTACCCATATAAATGCCTGCTTCCAAGACATAAACCTCATAATTTGATGTTGCCACCATGTTGCTGTCTCTTCGCTGTACTGGTTGTTACCAAGTTACAGACAAAAATAACATGCTCACAACATCCAATCAAATAAGAGGAACTTAAAAACAATATGGTGTTTACGACATCACGGAGAAGGTACATTTAAACACTTAAAAGCACAAACTGTTTCTCAATTCTACACAAGGCAAAATAAACTTTAGTGACAAGGCAGAACTCGCCCAATCGGGCCAGTAACGATCTTGTCTACTGTCCCGAGCGTCTCTCAAGCTGGCTCCGGGCCATCAGGCAGTCCTTATTGTTGAGCCCTGAAAGTGCTTTACTGTTCTAACTTTTCTTTGAAATGTGTTACAAGAACCAAAATTGCAATATATATTTATTCATTCATTCATTTTTTTAGACTTAGTCCCTTTCTGGGGTCGCCACAGCGGAATGAATGAATATGTTTTACGCAGCGGATGCCCTTTCAGCTCCAACCCAATCCTGCGAAACATACGTATTTATTATATAATATAAATAATGTTTGTTGTATTGTCTGCAATGAAATACAAGTCAAAGTAAATGTAGAAATCACTACCTTCTTTTTGTTATTTGCATTTTTTCATATTGTCCCAACTTTTTCTGATTCAGGGATGTACTTTAATTGCTCTTATCTTGCAAATTAGAATAGAAACTGTATAACAAGCATACAAACGTACTGACAGTTTCATGTACCACAGATTGTTGTGGGTCAATGATGCTACCATTAGGCACAAATCCATAAATTTCTCCTTTCTGGCTGTTCTTTCTCTGAAGGAATTCTGCAGAAGCACAGCCCAGGCGTATCTTTTGTCGGTTAGTAATGCTATATATTATTGCACAACAATTATCAGTTTTTTTGGGGCTAAAAAAGATAAATTATTCAGCCCATGACTTTGCAGTCAGCGGGAGATATAAATGTTTTGCCTGCCAGGGGGGCAATTCCCTAATAGTGTGACGTCACACGAAAATCAATATTAATAGGCTCATTATACTACTTAAAGCTTTTAGCTTAGCATAGGACTCATCTACTTTAGAGTTAAACAGTTGAGTTTTCTAATTTCTGAATGCATTCAGACGATCTTCAGGTCTGGCAGGAGCACTTTTAGCTTAGCATAGATCATTGAATCAGATTAGACCATTAGTACATGTACACAAATGTACACATGTAGACACGCATACATATACACAAATATACACACATATACACAAAAATACACACGCATACATATACACATAAACAAACGCATACATATAAACAAATATACACACACACGCATACAAATACACAAATATATACACGCATACATATACACAAATATACACAATCATACATATACACAAATATACACACATACACACACGCATACATATACACAAACATACACATGCATACATATACACAATTATACATGCATACATATACACAAATATACACACACATACATATACACAAATATACAGACACACGCCTACATATACACAATTATACACTCATACACACGCATACATATACACATGCATACATATACACAATTATACACTCATACACACGCATACATATACACATGCATACATACAGTGTACACAAATGTACACACGTAGACACGCATACATATACACAAATATACACACATATACACACGCATACATTCACAAAAATTTACACACATACACACGCATACATATACACATAAACAAACGCATACATATACACAAATATACACACGCATACAAATACACAAATATATACACGCATACACACGCATACATATACACAAATATACACGTATACACACGCATACATATACACAAATATACACACGCATACATGTACACAAACATACACATGCATACATATACACAATTATACATGCATACATACACACAAATATACACACAAATACATATACACAAATATACAGACACACGCCTACATATACACAATTATACACTCATACACATGCATACATATACACAATTATACACTCATACACACGCATACATATACACATGCATACATACAGTGTACACAAATGTACACACGTAGACACGCATACATATACACAAATATGCACACATACACACGCAGACATATTCAAAAATATGCACACATACATATTCACCGGCATACATGTACACAAATATACACAAGCATACATATACACAATTATACACGCATACATATACACAATCATACACACGCATACATGTACACAAATATATACACATGCAAACATATACACAATCATACACACGCATACATATACACAAATATGCTCACATACACACGCAGACATATACACAAATATACGCGCATACATATACACAAGCCTACACGCATACATATACACAAATATGCACACATACACAGGCATACATATACACAAATATGCCTACATATACACGCACACATATACACAAATATACACGCATACATATTCACAAGCATACACACATACACACGCATACATATACACAAATATATGCACACACACGCATACATATACACAATTATACACATGAACAGACATGTATACACGTGTATACACGCATACATATACACCAATATACACGTATACACACGCATACATATACACAAATATACACACGCATACATATACACAAATATACACACATACACACACGCATACATGTACACAAACATACACATGCATACATATACACAATTGTACATGCATACATATACACAAATATACACAGACATACATATACACAAATATACAGACACACGCCTACATATACACAATTATACACTCATACACACGCATACATATACACAATTATACACTCATACACACGCATACATATACACATGCATACATACAGTGTACACAAATGTACACACGTAGACACGCATACATATACACAAATATGCACACATACACACGCAGACATATACAAAAATATGCACACATACATATACACAGGCATACATGTACACAAATATACACAAGCATACATATACACAATTATACACGCATACATATACACAATCATGCACACGCATACATGTACACAAATATATACACATGCAAACATATACACAATCATACACACGCATACATATACACAAATATGCTCACATACACACGCAGACATATACACAAATATACGCGCATACATATACACAATCATACACGCATACACACGCATACATATACACAAACATGCACACATACACAGGCATACATATAGACAAATATGCACACATATACACACACACATATACACACATGCATACATATACACAAACATACACATGCATACATATACACAATTATACATGCATACATATACACAAATATACAGACACATACATATACACAAATATACAGACACACGCCTACACATACACAATTATACACTCATACACACGCATACATATACACAATTATACACTCAAACACACGCATACATATACACATGCATACATACAGTGTACACAAATGTACACACGTAGAAACGCATACATATACACAAATATGCACACATACACACGCAGACATATACAAAAATATGCATACATAATTATACACAGGCATACATGTACACAAATATACACAAGCATACATATACACAATTATACACGCATACATATACACAATCATACACACGCATACATGTACACAAATATATACACATGCAAACATATACACAATCATACACACACATACATATACACAAATATGCTCACATACACACGCAGACATATACACAAATATACGCGCATACATATACACAATCCTACACGCATACATATACACAAATATGCACACATACACAGGCATACATATACACAAATATGCCTTCATATACACGCACACATATACACAAATATACACGCATACATATTCACAATCATACACACGCATACATATACACAAATATGTGCACACACACATACATATACACAATTATACACATGAACAGACATGTATACACGTGTATACACATGCACAAATACACACATAAACAAACGTATGCACACGCATAAATATACATACACACACGAATACACACACATTATACATACATCTGGAAACTTTGCCATCTTCCACACTATGACTAGCAACCATTCTCTCAATCTGGTGTAATAATTAAGGAACTTTGCTGCCGTACCATGAAAATAGCATTTAAACTTTTCATTTTCTGTCAGTTTTAGTACACCATGTACCTTTCAATAAAAGATAATAAACTCTCTGATCATTTTTGAGCGAGATGCTAATGGCCCAATTCAATTCAATGATCTAAGCTAAGCTAAAAGTGCTCCCACTAGACCTGAAGACCGGATTCAGAAACTATAAACTCAACTGTTTAACTCTAGCCTGTTTTCTATGAGCGTATTACCAGAAAAAGTGGAGAGTTTCTTAAAGCTGTTTAATTGCTAGAATGGTGCTGCGAGATCAAGAGCAGCATGACAAAAACAATAGACACTGTTAACAGACACGGTAGAATAAAACCAGACACTTGCAGATTTTTAGTTTTCTAATGAAAATGATCTAGCTTTGTGTCTGTAGTGGCTTTAAAAGCAGCATTAGATTCACAGCACTGCTTAACATGTCATGTCTTATGTGTTGTTCTGGTTTCAGGCCTGAAGGTGGAGGTTACGCACTGTGGTCAAATGAAAAGGAAGTACCGGGTCTGTAACGTCACACGGCGTCCTGCTAGTCACCAAACGTCAGTATAATGGTTTAATTTCATGACATTTCCCAATTGACATACTCCATTTTTCATAGTGTTTAAATTAGTAATTAATCTAAAGTCAGCCTCTGATAGTTTATATAGTGATGCACTACAATTTTAGACGACCATTCACCCGAAGTTGCATTTGAAGGGCAGTATGACTGACCAAAAGTGGTGACTTTGAAATAGTGCGTAATATATCTAATAAAGTGAATCCGAAAAGTATTAATAGCTTCTTTTCTTTATGTTGCAGCCTTATTCCAAAATTGTTGCAAATTTATTAAAAATAAAAAAGCTGATAAATCACATGTACATCAGTTTTCACAGTCTTTGCCGTGAAGCTGTAAATTCAGCTCAGATACATTGTTTCCACTGACCACTGTTGAGATGTTTCAGCAGCTGCAATGGAGTTTACATGTGGTCAATTAAGTTGAAGACATGATGTGAAAAGGCGTACACCTGTCTATATAAGGGCCCAGGGTTGGCAGTGCATGTCAAAGCACAAACCAAGCATGAAGACAAAGGAACTGTCTGTAGGTCTCCGAGACAGGATTGCCACAAGGCTGGGGAAGGTTACAGAAACATTTCTGCTGCTCTGAAAGTTCCAGTGAGCACAGCGGCCTCCATCATCCGTAAGTGGAAGATGTTTGGAACCACCAGGACTCTTCCTAGAGCTGGCCGGCCATCTAAGCTGAGTGATCGAGGGAGAAGGGCTTTAATCAGGGAGGTGATCAATAACCCGATGGTCACTCTGTCTGAGCTCCAGCGTTCTTCTGTGGAGAGAGGAGAACCTTACAGAAGGACAACCATCTGTGCAGCAATCCACCAATCAGGCCTGTATGGTAGAGTGGCCAGACGGAAGCCACTCCCCACCTGGAGTTTGCCAAAAGGCATCTGAAGGACTCTCAGACCATCAGAAACTAAATTCTCTGCTCTGATGAGACTCAAATTGAACTCTTTGGAGTGAATGCCAGGCGTTACGTTTGGAGAAAGCCAGGCAGCGCTCATTAGCATGCTAATACCATCCCTACAGTGAAGCATGGTGATGGCAGCATCATGCTGTGGGGATGTTTTTCAGCAGCAGGAACTGGAAGATTAGTCAGGATAGAGGGAAAGATGAATGCAGCGATGTACAGACACATCCTGAATGAAAACCTGCTTCAGAGTGCTCTTGACCTCAGACTGCGGCGACGGTTCATCTTCCAGCAGGACAACGACCCAAAGCACACGGCCAAAATATCAATGGAGTGGCTTCACAACAACTCGGTGACTGTCCTTGAGTGGCCCAGCCAGAGCCCAGACCTAAATCCTATTGAACATCTCTGGAGAGATCTGAAAATGGCTGTACATCGTTGCTTCCCTTCCAACCCGATTTATGCACATTTTAATACAAAATCTTACAAAATCCTGGAGAAACTGATAATCAGTTTTACTCTGCAACATCAGCAAAGTGGTCCAGAAGTCAGTGCAAGATCACCGTGGTGTAATACTGATGCATGCAGACTGAAATGAGATGAGTAAATAAAGATGTTGTGAATGTTTCCTCCAGGTTTCCTCTACAGCTGGAGAGCGGACAGACGGTAGAATGCACAGTAGCTCAATATTTCAAGCAGAAGTACAACCTGCAGCTCAAGTACCCTCACCTGCCCTGTCTACAGGTGGGACAGGAGCAGAAACACACATACCTGCCTCTGGAGGTGAGTCTGTCATACACACACACACACACACACACACACACACACGAACACACACACACACACATATATATATATATATATATATATATATATATATATACACACACACACAAATATACACACGCGCACATAAAAACACATACTGTACATACATATACACAAACACACACACACAGACACACACATACATATACACAAAAATACACATACACACATGCTGGACATATACACGCGTACACACATATACACATGCATACATATACACAAATATACACACATACTGTACACATGCGTATACACACATATTCGCAAATATACATACATAAACACATACACACACAAACAAACACATACATATACACAAATATACACACACACGGACATACGTATACACAAATATACACACATACACACGCATACGTAAACACAAATATACACACATACATACACACATGCATAAGTATACACACACACACACACACATATACACACATACACAAATACACTCACATAAACACACACACATACAAACACACACACACACTTATATATGTATAAACACAAACACACGTATATATACACAAACACACATACACGCATACATACTCACACGCACACACACAAAGATATATATACACACAAACATATGCATGCATACATATGCGCGAGCACACACACACGTATACAAACAAATACACACACACACACACTCACACACACACACACATATGTGTGTGTGTGTGTGTATGTGTGTGTAAATATATATACATACATACATTCATACATACAAACACACATACATATACACACACACGCACACACATGTACACACACATATATGCACACTCATACACACATAAACATATATACACTCACACATACACACATGTACACATAAACATATACACATGATATTAAAAATATTGTGATTATGAACGTTTTAAATGATAACTTTGTGTCTTCTATGTGCATCCTTTTAGGTTTGCAATATTGTAGCAGGGCAGCGGTGCATCAAGAAACTGACAGATAATCAGACGTCCACCATGATCAAAGCCACGGCGCGCTCCGCACCAGACCGACAGGAGGAGATCAGCAGACTGGTGAGTGCTGACCTCTAGTGTGCACACTGGAAACAAGACGCTTTATATTTATAAATATATACAGTTGAAGTCAGAATTATATAAATATTTATGTTTAACAGAGCAGATTTTTTCAGCACATTTCCAAGCATGATAGTTTTAATAACTCATTTCTAATAACTGACTTATTTTATCTTTGCCATGATGACAGCACATAATATTAGACTAGATATTCTTCAAGACACTTCTATACAGCTTAAAGTGACATTCAAAGGCTTAACTAGGGTAATTAGGTTAACTAGGCAGGTTAGGGTAATTAGCCAAGTTATTGTATAATGATGGTTTGTTCTATAGACTATCTGAAAAAAAGATTAGCCTAAAGGTGCTAATAATATTGACCTTAAAGTAGTTTTAAAAATATAAAAAATTGCTTTTATTTTAGTTGAAATAAAACAAATAAGACGTTCTCCAGAAGAAAAAATATTTTAGGACAATTCCTTGCCCATAGGTGACCCATAAATTAAAATACAGTTATGTTTATTAGGCTTATTTGATATACATCTTTATATATGAGCAATATCACACTAGTAGCAGAGCAGAGGTCGCGTTAGACTTTCTCATTGTCCGTCATTTTGACGGAGAGGGTTGTAAAATTTCCGTCATAACCTATTATTGATCGTTATTTAATTAGCAGACTTTCTAATGCCTTTCTGGTGCCCCGGGCTCTGCGCTCGTTTGGGAAATTTCAAATTGAACCAAACTATACCATTACAATTGGCTTAAGACTTGCAATGAAAATTCGGGACAGTGCAACCTGCAGAACCTGGGAACTTAAATAAAAATAAGAATATATTTTAGAGCAATAATCACAATACCGCGAAACCATGATATTGTTGTCCAAGGTTATCATACCGTCAGAATCTTATACCGGTCCATGTCTACTCAGACAGGCGTCTGATGCACTGAATTTGATGCTGAGAAATTATAAATATTTAAAATAGGCACTATCCTTATAAATAAACAGCATAGTTGCAATCTAAACAACTACATTCTCGATTAAAAAGCCTCAAAAGTACATTATGTTGTCCAACAGCTGCAATATTTGTCAAACTGTAGAGTGTTCTTTGCTTGTTGCTGTATGTGGGTGGAGTAATACACAAAGGAGTCTGTACGAGCTATCAGCCAATCGAATTCAAGAATCAGACAGAACGGTTTAATAATTATTTATATACATGTTTGCATCAATAAATAAATAATACTTGTGTATTAATTTTTTTTTTCGCATATATTTTTTGTTTTATAATTTCACATAGTCTTTCTTTTTTGGCAAGAAATATATTCACAATATTTATATAAAATGATAGAATTTTTTTATGTTTATGCAATGTTTTAAAAAACAAAACCATTATCTCGTACAAAAAAACAAAAACTAATGTACAATTATTCCCTGACAACACTTTCTGGTCATCGCTGAATGTCCTGTTTTAGTTACTTCTACTTAACATTTTGCAAATAAAAACAAAATGCTGTTTATTCAATCGTTTGCATTTCTGTTTTTCCTCTCAGATGAAGAACGCTAACTTTAATCTGGATCCTTACATTCAAGAGTTTGGGATTAAGGTGAAGGACGACATGACGGAGGTGACCGGCAGAGTCCTTCCAGCCCCAATCCTGCAGTATGGCGGTCGGGTAAGAACTATTAGAAAATATACAGTTTAAGTCCGAATTATTAGCCCCCCTGAATTATTAGCCCCCCTGTACATTTTATTCCCCAATTTCTGTTTAACGGAGAGCAGATTTCTTTCAATTAATTTCTAATCATAATAGTTTTAATAACTCATTTCTAATAACTGGTTTATTTTATCTTTGTCATGATGACAGTAAATAATATTTGACTAGATATTCTTCAAGACACTTCAATACAGCTTAAAGTGACATTTAAAGGCTTAACTAGGTTAATTAGGTTAACTAAGCAGGTTAGGGTAATAAGGCAAGTTATTATATAACGATGGTTTGTTCTGTAGACTATCAGAAAAATATATAGTTTTAAGGGGCTTATAATATTGACCTTAAATAGCTTTTAAAAAATGTAAAAACTGCTTTTATTCTAGCCAGAATAAAACAAATAAGACTTTCTCCAGAAGAAAAAATATTATCAGACATACTGTAAAAAAATTTCCTCACTTCTTCATCTGTGTTAAGCTGCTTTGACACAATCTACATGGTAAAAAGTGCTACAGAATTAAAGATGAATTCAGAAATGGAATGATCTCAGTACATATTTTTCGAGTAATTTTATAAGACACTAGTATGCTTAAAGTGAAATTTAAAGGCTTAACTAGGTTAATTATTTAATTCAATTCATTTTTATTTTTATAGCTTTTGATGATATAGATTGTGTCAAAGCAGCTTCACAGTGAAGTTCCAGTAAAGTCCAGATTTTAGAGTTAAACAGTTTAGTTCAGTTCAGGTTTAAATTTTACGGCTGAAAGTCCAAACAGCGAAGAGCAAATCCATCGATGCGCAGCTTCACAAGTCCTCATCCAAGCAAGAAAAATAAAAAATCTTAAACTCCTACAACCCAGTACTGGGAAACACCCATACACACTCATTCACACTCATACACTACGGCCAATTTAGATTATTCAATTCCCCTATAGCGCATGTGTTTGGACTGTGGGGGTACCTGGAGCACCCTGAGGAAACCCACGCCAACACAGGAAGAACATGCAAACTCCACACAGAAATGCCAACTGACCCAGCCGGGACTCGAACCAGCAACCTTCTTGCTTTGAGGCTACAGTGCTAACCACTGAGCCACCATGCCATCTTCTTAAACTCTTGCACTTTTCATTGAAGTATCTGGCCAATGCATTAATGTTGACATGCAGCGTAAACACTTGCAGCGGTGCATCATCATCATCATAACAATTATCATCATCATCATCATCATCACCTTCAGAGTGAGCTTGCTGAATTCTCCCTTTAAGTTCTCTCACTAAATTCTCTCTTTCCTTGTTGGTGAACAGAATCGTGCCATCGCGACTCCAAACCAGGGTGTGTGGGACATGAGGGGAAAACAGTTCTATAATGGCATCGAGATCAAGGTTTGGGCCATTGCTTGCTTCGCTCCGCAGAAACAGTGTCGGGAAGAGGTGCTCAAGTAAGGAAGACTCGCACACAATGCTGAATAACACACACCAAAACACAGTATTTCAGTCCATGTCCACATGTACACAGGTATTTTTATGAACTGTCTTTCCCACCATGCAAAAACCCACAGTGATGCATGTTAACCCTTGTGTGCTCTTCAAATTGACTCCCCTTTCGTTTTGTTGGTGGCTGTTTTTGCCCCATTGACTCCCATTGTTTAAATGCAAACCATGACAGCATATAATCATGCATTCTTCATTGTTGGTGTTTTTCCCTTTTAATGGATCATCAGATGGCACCATTAAAGGTTCAGGACACCCTGGAGAACTTTTTTTTTATATATTAACAGATTTGTGTGTGTTGAGCATCAGTTAAGACGATGTTAGCACCTGTCAGCTTTAATTGTGGGGAAAACTGGAAAGTTTTGAGCTTTTGTCAGCTAATTTCTGCTTCCAGGTTTAAAATGATTTGTGGGGCGGGATCAAAATGGACGACGTAGCGCAGTACTGCAAGTGCAATGATGACGCGTCGGTTTCTCATTATTATTCATAGCAGAGTTTTCTTATCCAATGAGTAGAGCCGGCTGCTTAATTATTCATGAGAGCGCGTGCTTACCGAAGGCAAGACAGACCTGCCAGCTTCAAGCAAGCTGTGAGACACGAACCCACCTACGGCACGCAGTAGCCGTTCATGAAGGCTCGTATGTGTTTCTTTCCATGATCCACGGGGTTTGTTGCATGTTTTCCCCCCGCGATCTTGTCAGGGTCGATCATACAGCAAAGCTGTGTGTGTGCTGCAAGCATTTTTGTCGGGAGAGCAGTACGAGAATTGAAGAATGGCGGATGTTGACTTTTATCAGGAGTTAGTTCACATTTAGACACATCGTCGTGCTGCTATCTTTGCCTAAATCCTCCAGATTACCAACAGGGCTAATGGTTAAAATAGGCAGGTCAGGAGACCTGCTGCACGAGTCTGCATTCAGATCTATAATTTAGTCTTGGGGATCTATTGAGATTCCTCTTTTATAGTGTTTATATTAACACACTTATCTTTATAATGATGTAAATTGTGGTTATGTGTATATGAAATTACGACTAACAAATGTAGCAGGGCATTAAATCACTATTTATTTCGTTGCATTTTAACTTTGTGAACTATAAACTCATGCGTCTCCTCACGGTTTGTGTCTCATTTTGTGAGCTAACTGTCAACAGCAGTTATTCGCTCCCCTTCTCCCCTGCTGGCCACGCCCACTCCTGCCCTATACTTGCGGAGCTCCACGCCCATTAATCATGCATCTTTTGAAAAAATTCTGAAGTAGACTTTAACTGAAAGTGGGGGGTGTCATGGCCCTTTAACGCTTTAGGAAAATGTTTCTGGCTTTTATATGTGGTTCTATAGTGTAGAACAGCAAATTGCATGCAGGCATAAATACACTTACTATGTTTGCTATGTTCTGACAGCTGAGCGACTTAATTACATTTTCTCAGACATAACAAGTGTGCAAAAGTGAGAAAAGAGGCAGAGTATTGTCCTGTGGTGGGAATGATGCTGAAGTCGTGACCTGTTTGCCACAGTCAAATCACCCTGCAGCTCATGACCGGTTACTCACTGAAGCAGGGCTGAGCCTAGTCTACCTGAATTGGAGACAACATGGGAAAGCTAGGTTTCTGTTTGAAGTGGTATAAGAGAAGCCAGCAGGGGGCGTTCACCCTGCAGTCTGTGTGAATCATAATGCCCCAGTATAGTGAAAGGGACACTACACTGTCAGTGGGGCCGTCTTTTGGATGAGAAGTTAAACCGAGGTCCTGACTCTCTGTGGTCAATAAAATCCCATGGGAATTAAGGGTGTAATCTTGGTGTCCTAACCAAATTCTGTTCATTAGCCAGTACCAATAATGGCCTTCCACTCATCCCCTTCCACCGCATTGGCCTTATCACTCTCCACTCCACCTACAGCTGGTGTGTGTTGAGTGCACTGGCGCCGTTGTTAAAACAGCTCTAGAAACTTCCTGGCAGGTGTGTTGAAGCAAGTTGGAGCTAAACTCAGCAGGACACTAGCCCTTTAGGACCGAGTTTGGACACCCCTGATGTAGGGAGACAGCTGGATTTTTGCCTATTATGTTTCATCAATTTTGCTCCGAATTTAAAAACATCAGCCTGCTTTCTGTCAGCTTAGTCTATTTAAATGTATAGTCAATGCCAAATAATTAAATTTACACTTAGACACAGACTTAAGGCTGATTTATACTTTTGCATCAAGCGCACACGTATGCTACGGCACAGCCTACGCATGGACACATAGCTCTCACCGTGGACATCGCCATCGCTGACGCGCACCTCTCAGAAAATGTAACTACGTTGCAACGATGTGTAGCGCAAGCTCTGTGATTGGTTGGCTTGAAATCGCTTACGAGTGTGGGCGGGACCGAGAGCCACGTGAGTCTGTTTACAAGTGTCGACTGTTTACAAGGAGCTCTGGAGGAAGACCGTTGCTTTGTGTTTACCTTATGGTTAAAGTTGTTGCATGTCCGCCGGTTCCTGCCTCAAAATGAGCGAGTTTGAGTCACTTGTACATCAATGGAGCATTCAGAAAAAACAAAACACCATCGAAGAAACTCGACACAGAGGAACATAAACACCTACTGCCAGCTAGTGTTTCGGAAGTGTTGTTGCAGAGCAACAGAGAGTATGAAGCGCAGAAGTATGAATGACTTGCCTTTAGTACTTATTCATTGTTGCTCTTAGTTGTGTAAATTGCTTCCTTGTCCTCATTTGTAAGTCGCTTTGGATAAAAGCGTCTGCTAAATGACTAAATGTAAATGTAAATGAATGCACAGCTACACGCGTTGCATATGCTGTGGTTCACGCCGATCACTTGATGCAGAAGTATAAACCAGGCTTTAGAAGGGGACATATTATGCCACTCTTTACAAGATGTAAAACAAGTCTCTGATGTCCCTACAGTGTGTGTGTGTTTTTATGACATATCAGGACACAAATCTGTATAATGACATGGGTATGACACGGGTATTACAAAAAGGAGGTGAAATATGAGGACATTGGTGTTGTCCTCATTTCTCAAAATGCTTATAAATCCTACAGGATGAGTTTAATCAGAGTAAAGCTGCACACAGTCTCCTGTGATGGTTGGGTTTAGGCGTGGAGTGGGGTGAAGGCAATATACTATACGGTTTGGACAGTATAAAATGAATGGAAGCCTATGTAATGTCCCCACTTTTCACAAAAACAAACATGTGTGTGCGTGTGTGCGTGCGTGCGTGCGTGTGTGTGTGTGAAGTTTCAGCTCAAATAACTCACAAACCAACTTTCTGAAACTGCCCTTTTTAGGCTTTGATCCAAATGTTACTGTTTTGGTGACTGTTCCTTTAAATTTAAATGATATTTTGCCCCCCGCTTTTTTTCAAAAGAGGGCTGAGCTACAAACGCCTTTGCATCAGCATAGCGGCATATTCAAAACTCTAATCGCAGGTTGCGGCTTCCCATTTAGGGCAGTTTATGCTAATGTGGGACAGATGGTCACTAGTGGGCGGGGCTTTCCCTCTCTGATGACACGTACAAAGGGAGAATGTCAAAGTGTTTAATCAAGTGTGATTATATTCATTCATTCATTTTATTGTCGGCTTAGTCCCTTTATTAATCCGGGATCGCCACAGCGGAATGAACCACCAACTTATCCAGCAAGTTTTTTATGCAGCGGATGCCCTTCCAGCCGCAACCCATCTCTGGGAAACATTCACACACTCATTCACACACACACTCATACAGTACCAAATTCACCTGTACCGCATGTCTTTGGACTGTGGGGGAAACCGGAGGAAACCCATGCGAATACAAGGAGAACATGCAAACTCCACACAGAAACGCCAACTGAGCCGAGGCTCGAACCAGCGACCTTCTTGCTGTGAGGCGACAGCTACTGTGTCCCTGCTTCACCAGTGTAATTATAAAAAAAAAAAAATTCATTTATTTTTACCAATTTAGGCTTGTTATTTTCACATACTGTAACCACACGATGTGTTTAAACCCTTTATGAAAGTGATTTTTACATGATAGGTCCTCTTTAGGAAAATTAAATCACAGTAATAATCGTCAGAGTATAAGGTGGACTAATTTTAACAATGTAATACTCGCTACTCTTGAGTAACTACTTTTAGAAGGGCCACTTTTGCTCACACTTTTGCAAGCAGTAACATTAGTGACGATCTCTTTCTTAGGAACTTCACCGACCAGCTGCGCAAGATCTCAAAGGATGCTGGGATGCCGATTCAGGGTCAGCCGTGTTTCTGTAAGTACGCTCAGGGGGCCGACAGCGTGGAGCCCATGTTCAGACACCTGAAGAACACTTACTCTGGACTGCAGCTCATCATTGTCATCCTGCCTGGGAAAACCCCCGTCTACGGTAAGAGTCAGACTCGCCTGGACTAGCCTTCTGCTGGAAATAGAAAAAGTTCATTAAAAAAAAGTTCAATTAATTGCTAAAGCTTTTATCAAGATGTTTGTTTGTTGCACTTCACCAGCGGCGACTCTCTTCCCAGGGGATGCTGAGCTCGCGTTGCATCCTGGACGTTCTATAACTGTTATATCGCACTTTGTAAAGAAACCGGTCTGGCGGATATCCCGTTTTGTGAAAAAATACATTTTGTATTCGGCCTAAAATGTACATTCTGAAATGTTATTGATGGCAGCAATACCACATAGATTAAGATGCATCTGAACAGTGATTTCCAATAATAATAAAATCCAAATGTCAAAAATTGGCGTTTATTGCATTTTGCAACCAAACTCTTCATATATATATATATATATATATATATATATATATATATATATATATATATATATATATATATATATATATATATAGTTACTTAGCGAATGCACCTCGCTACGCAAGTGCACACACACACAGGCCAACTTGTCAAAAGAGGTAACAGATTTATTAAACAAATCAATCTCAATATGAGATCGATCAATATGAGAACCAGGGAACAAAAAAGCCAAAACAACAAACAAAACAAGTTACGCTACCTAGGGATGTAACGGTATCAGAATTTCATGGTTCGGTAATACCTCGGTATGAATGTCACGGTACGGTATTTATTGAATCATTTACAGGAAAAAACAAAACTTATGAAAATACTCCAAAAAAGTGCCAAAAGTGTCAATGACATACAAATTAGCCATCTATCTGTAAGCTTTAAAACAGGAACTTCAATTTTAATAACAAAAAAATATTAAACCATGTAAAAAAATAAAGTTTCAATTTAGTATTGTTGAAAACTCATCACATTCAACATTTAATCACTCACTCACTTAGATAGAGATGGGTTTAAAGGAAAATTATCATATAAATATAATCTGGTAAAAGCTGGTATCTCTGGGTATTTACAATGTCCCCTGCAACAGAAAAAAACCTCTCATTTGGGACTGAGGTTTCTGGGACAAGAGAGATATGACTTGGCCCAGGTTGACAGCAGTGGGTAACGTTGTGCATTGTCTTTCCCCCACTTGAGAGGACAAACCATGAGTGAGATAGAGGTCTCATGTCTGCATCAATCTGAACAGTGTGCTGACAACACCGCTATTCAGTACGCGCGCGACAACACAGCTGATAAGAACTCGCGCGACAACACAGCTGATAAGAACTCGCGCGACAACACCCGCTGTAGAGTTTTCCAGCTCTTTTTCATCCCCAGTTCTAGCAGCACACTCCATTTCCGCATTACTGGATCTGTAGCGACAACAGACCGCAAGGGATGATGGTCAAGCATGGGCTGATGGGAATTGTAGTTTTCGCTACCTCCCGTTCGCTTCATTCGCCTGAGCAAATTTTCTCAGAAGACCTATAGTTTTACCGAGTCATGCGACTACGGTAATATCGAAAAAAATTTATATTGCGGTATGACGGTATTTACAATACCGTTACATCCCTAACGCTACCTACTATTAAATTTCTTACATTAACCAAAAATAAAGTTCCATAAATAAAGCGTTCAATTCTACCCTCCATAACTAACCATAAAACATGAGAAAATGGGACAAAAGATAAAGGGCATTCCCTTTGATAATTCAGCAGTAAGTAAATATTAGCCACAGCTAACACAGGATACCATCAACAGCGTGCTTTTATAGCTGGCGCCGCCCCTCTCAGAGCTGCACCTGATCTCCGCTCATGTGGAGAGAGAGAAGGAGACAGATAATAGAGGATACAACACATACAGGAACAAAACACTATCATTGTCAAAATAATCTTACTCAATATGTAATTATATATATATATATATATATATATATATATATATATATATATATATATATATATATATATATATATATATATATATATATATATATATATATATGCATATATGCATCAGAGGAAATAAACATTTTTAACTAAATAAATTCCAAATTATGACAAAATGTTGGCTCAGTGGTTAGCACTGTCGCCTCACAGCAAGAAGGTTGCTGGTTCGAGTCCCAGCTGGAGCAGTCGGCGTTTCTGTGTGGAGTTTGCATGTTCTCTTCGTGTTGGTGGGGAGCCTATAAATTGTTACAGGATTTTTTTATGTCGTAGGCTAGATTAACATGAGAGAATGTAAATGTTTGAAAATAAATTGCCTATTAAGTCTTCAAGCATTTGATGCTGTGATAACCAACCACTAATACAACAATCTCAATGTTCTTAAAAACACTGTGAAAGCTTCAATAATAAGTAATTATCCACAGTGTTTTGAAGTGCCCATGATATCATTATCATGCATGTTCATTATCATGATATATTGAGTTCTTTAATATCAGCATCTGTCGGGTCTTCACACTGATAATAAATGTGTGTGTTTGCTCTGTGCAGCGGAAGTGAAGCGTGTTGGAGACACTCTTCTAGGAATGGCCACTCAGTGTGTGCAGGTGAAGAACGTGGTAAAAACCTCCCCGCAGACGCTCTCCAACCTCTGCCTCAAAATCAACGTCAAACTCGGCGGCATCAACAACATCCTCGTGCCGCATCAACGGTGAGATGTGTTCAGGTTCTGCACGGGTAATCCAAAAGCAATACAATTACACTGTGATGCAGCTGCCATTTAAAGGGATAGCTCACCTAATACATGTTTAACAGATGAACGTTACAATAATGCTATTTCTAGTTTCCTGCAATAATTTTATTTTGATTTCAGCATACAGTCTGTTAAAATAACTACAAAATCAATAATAATAACAACAGTAATGATATTTATTATTATTATTATTATTATTATTCATTCATTCATTTACCTTCAGCTTAGTCCCTTTATTCATCAAGTAACACCACAGTGAAATGAACCGCCAACTTATGCAGCATATGTTTTACACAGCGGATGCCCTTCTAGCTGCAACCCAGTACAGGGAAATACCCATACACTCTCACACACACACTCATACACTACGGCCAATTTAGTTTATTCAATTCACCTATAGCGCATGTGTTTGGACTGTGGGGGAAACTCTCGCTAACACGGGAGAACATGCAAACTCCACACAGAAATAATAATTGGACCAGCCGGGGCTCGAACCAGCGACCTTCTTGCTGTGATACGACAGTACTAACCACTAAGCCACTGTGTGACCCTATTATTATTATTATTATTTATTTTAATTATTTTCGTTCTTCTTGTCATTCTGTTTCATTACTTAAATCTTGTTTCATTACTTAAATCAGTTTTATATATTGTTCACTTTCATAGATATATATATACTTACATTTTATAATCATACTTCAGTCACTTCTGTGTATCTATGTGTATGTCGTGTATGTTGTGTGTATGACTTCACTGTGGACGGCAAAGTAAGAATCTCATTGTACAGGGAAACGTGTTTTCTTACTGTGCACATGACAATAAACAGTTGAATTGAATTGAATTCTAGTGTATAAATACAGCATTTTGACTAAATTGTACATCTTTAGATATATATATATATATATTTTTTTTTTTTTTTATAATAATACAGTGAGGGTGCACTCACACTAGGCTACAAGTATACAATTTACAAGTAATTTACAAGTAAGTAAAATTTAAATAACTATTTTTTTTTATTTGTCAGACAAAGCACAGTGCTCATTCAGTAAAGCCTAAGCTAAACTTTTATATTATCTATCTATCTATCTATCTATCTATCTATCTATCTATCTATCTATCTATCTATCTATCTATCTATCTATCTATCTATCTGTCTATCTGTCTATCTGTCTATCTGTCTATCTATCTATCTATCTATCTATCTATCTATCTATCTATCTATCTATCTATCTATCTATCTGTCTATCTATCTGTCTATCTGTCTGTCTGTCTGTCTGTCTGTCTGTCTGTCTATCTGTCTGTCCGTCTGTCCATCTGTCCGTCTGTCCGTCTGTCTGTCTGTCTGTCTGTTAATTCAGCAAATTGTGCATCCCTACAAATATATATATATATTTCTCTTTTATATTTCTGAACAGTTGCTGTGACTCTTTTACAGGTCAGCAGTGTTTCAGCAGCCCGTGATCTTCCTCGGGGCAGATGTTACACACCCGCCGGCTGGTGATGGGAAGAAGCCATCTATTACTGCTGTGAGACACACATACACACACACAGATACACACATACACAGACAAACCTTTCTAAATATAGAAAACCATAGAAAACAGTGGGTGTGGCTTGTTTTTTCTACTGCGAGCTGATTGGATGTAGTAAAGTATGTATTTCAGAAAGATGGGGAAAAGGTTTGGGGAGAGTTATTACAGACTCCTCCTCCTCACCATTTCTGTTTGTTGTCTGACAGCCGAATGGGTGTGGTTAAATATGTTAGCCACGCCCAATACCTCAGACCGATCTAATCGGAGAATTCAACTGAAAACTAACAGGAGCTGCATTTTCAGATTTTTAGATCACAGGGGCCAACTATTTTCTTCTTAATGATGTCCACAGATGAGTTGTTCACCACAAAACTAGCAATGTGAACTCACCAAATCAGTATGGTTAGTTTTGATCCCGTGTACTTTAATTTTCGTCCCACGCTGTAATTACGCCCATCTGTTGTACTGAACACAGGCGGAGGAGGAGCAGGGCATCATGGGAGTGTTGAAAAGGGAAAATGAGTCACAGACGGGCAGGAAATGATGTCACCTGCCGCCCAGCACATGCAAGCACTTGTAACTGGCTGTTTTTTTTACTAAACGCTGATGACAAAGAGCTGAGTCACAGCGGCGGATATGAGCGCATTGATGATGGAGGGATGCTGTTTTCTCTTCTGCATCCAGAGGGCGGCAGATTCCTCTATACAAATACTCACAGACACACACACACTGCAAAACTGCATTTCTTATTGTGAACCTCGGGCATGGAATAATTTGTAAAGAGATTTGAAACTAGATAGAATTGTGTCTTTTGGGTGAATTGAAGGCTTTATAAAGAGAGTGGTGTTGGATGCATGTGATTGTTTATGTTGAGAGGACTGATGAAAGGTTGTTGTAATGTGGTGCTCCTGTATTTTTTAATAGTTTGGGATGTTATCTTTGCCGTGTCTTTTTAAATCTTAGTTAGTCTTCCTGATTAATTAATGAGACTTCTGTTTTTTCTTTGAGTTTTTGATTTGTTTCTAGTCCTAAACTCTAATATTAGGCCAAAATTAAAAATAAAATGTTCATGCTTAGTTTTTGTCTTGTTTTCTAATATGTAAAATCTCTTAAGGCTTCAAGTTTTTAACAGATTTGTGTGTGTTAAGCATCAGTTAAGAGAATGTTAGCACCTGTCAGCTTTAATTGTGGGGAAAACTGGGTAATTTTGAGCTTTGGTCAGCTGATTTCATCTTCAAAGATGAAGCGTTGGTTTCTCATTATTATTCATAGCTGAGTTTTCCTATTCTATGAGAAGAGCCGGCTTCTTAATTATTCATGACTGTGCGTGCTTTCTTAAGGCAAAGCAGACCTGCCAGTGCCAAGCTGTGAGATCTTACCTTGATAACTGGGTGAGACGCGTTAACAGACCCACAGCACGCAGTATTTATCTGTTCATGAAGGGTCGTATGTGTTTGTTTCCATGATCCACGGGGTTTGTTGCATGTTTTTCCCTGCGATGCTGTCAGGGGGATGAGTAAAAATATTGTTTTGTTTTCAGAAATATTAAGTAAAACATTTTTAAACGTATTTCAAGTAAAAATATTTTTGTTTTCAGAAATATTACATCAAAATGTAAAAACATTGTAAAAATATTGATTTGTTTTCAGAAATATCAAATCAGAATCTAAAAGAATGAAAAGGTATTATAGGTAAAAACTTTTTTGAAATTACGTCAAAATGTAAAGATTATAAAAATGTTTTGAGTAAAAATATTGATTTATTTTCAGAAATATTAAGTCAAAATAAAAGTTAAAAATATATATATATGTTTTTTTGTTTTTTAGAAATATTATGTCAAAATGTAAAAAGAATTTAAAATCATTGATTTAAAACTACATTGACATAAAACTATTTCAGGTAAAAAAAATTATTTATTTTCAGAAATATTAAGTAATTTTTTTCAAAATTAAAAAATATAGTTTATTTTTAAATATTAAGTCAAAATAAAAAAATATATATATATTTTTAAGTACGAATATTAATTTGTTTTCAGAAATATTAAATCAGAATAAAAGAATGAAAGTATTTTGAGTGAAGATTTTTTCAGAAATATTACGTCAAAATGTAAAGATTGTAAAAATATTTTGAGAAAAAATATTGATTTATTTTCAGAAATATTAAGTTTGTTCTTCAAAATTAAAAATATTGTTTTTTTAGAAATATTAAGTCAAGATTTTTAATGATTTGTTTTCAAAAATATGAAGTCAAACTTTTTCTAAATTAAAAAATGTTTGATTTAAAATATAATTTTTTTAAATATTAAGTCAAATTTTGTAAAAATAAAAAAAAATTTAAGTAAAAATATTGTTTTGTTTTCAGAAATATTAAATAAAAAAATTAAAACATTTTAAGTAAAAATATTATTTTTTCATAAATATTATGTCAAAATGTAAAATATTGTAAAAATATTGATTGTTTTCAGAAATATTAAGTCAAGTTTTTTCAAATTAAAAAAATGTTTTGTTTTTAGAAATATTAAGTCAAAATGTAATTTAAAAAAAATATAAATTTAAAGTAAAATATTGTTTTATACATACAAAAAGGGATTTTTGCTGCTTGTTCGGACTACTTATTAAAAATTTGCTGAATCAACAGCTCTTTAAATGTTTGGGGGACAACATTGTATTGTGTTCAATTCACTTAAATTTGTAAAAACAATGAAGTTAACTTAATTTGTTTTGAGACAACATTAATGAATTGTATAACAGTGTTTGTTCTGTAGACAATTAAATAACGGGGGCTAATAATATTGACCTTAAATGTTTTTTAATATATATATATTAATTTAATATATAAAAATGAAATGAATAAAATAAAAAGCAATACAGGATTTTTGGATGATTTTCTGCATCATCTATCCTCATGTGATGTTTATGTGTGTGTGCAGGTTGTTGGCAGTATGGACGCTCATCCCAGCAGATACTGCGCTACAGTTCGAGTCCAGCGGCCCAGACAGGAGATTATTGAAGATCTGTCCTACATGGTGAGAGAATTACTGATCCAGTTCTACAAGTCCACCCGCTTCAAGCCCACGAGAATCATCTTCTACAGGGACGGCGTACCAGAAGGACAGCTGCCACAAGTAAAGCCTTTTGATTAAAAATACACAAAAATACAGTAAATATTATTATGATTTAAAAAATTGCTGCATTTCATTTTAAAATACTGTAATGTGATTTATTCCTGTGATGTAAATCAGGATTTTAGCAGAATTCAATAAAGCATTTGGATTAAAAACACACAAATATACAGTAAAAGCAGTAAATATCACTTCGACTTCAGTGTCACATGATCCTTCAGAAATCATGTTAACATGCTGATGGATTATCAAGACTCTTATTGTCTATGTAAATTGCTCCTGTTCATCATTTTCAGATTTTTAGATACATACAGTAGCATGCTTAAGAAAAGTAT